CAAGGGTAGTAGGGAAAAGGAAGGGGAGGATTAATAAAGTCAAATTACAACTGAAAAGAAAACCTAATAATATACTAGTGAAAAGTAAATGATATCAAATTTAAAAACAGGATCCAGTAATGTCCCCATACAGCTTCAGCCATCTGACTGACTCTCTTTGTAGGACAGGCTAGCCTCGAACTCACAGAGATCTGCCTGCCCAGTCTCCCAAGTGCTGAGATTAAAGGCGTGCACCATGCCTGGCCACATTTTTCTGACTGACTCTCAACAGAGTAACAGCACACAAATACTGGGGGCAAACGACATCGTTTTTTAACAAGTGGCACCAGGAAAACCAGACAGTACATGTAGAGACTAAAACAGGCTGGGGTGAGGTTCACTGGGTAGAATGCTTGCCTCACACTCATGAAGCCCTATCCCCAGCTTCACATAAGTTTGGTGTAGTGGCACATGCCTGTAATACTGGAACTTGGGATGTAGAGTCATAGGGATCATATGTCCAAGACCACCCTCAGCTACACAACAAGTTTAAGGACAGCCTGGGTGGTGTGAGACATTTCTCAAGCAAACAACATCAAAAACAGAAACTAGATCCCGCTCTTTGACGTTTTTACAAATATCAGTTCAAACATTAATCGAATGCCTTAAGGTAATAGAATTCCAACAGCTGAGGAAATTCCAGTGAGATTCCATTGAATTAATAAGCTTCTGAGCAACAAAGGAGATGGCGGTGAAATAGCAGCCTACATAATGAAACAAAACATTTGTCAGATATTCATCTAACGGGGGATACACAAAGAGAGTGGATCAAGTAACTATCAAAAGGATAATCCAGTCAGAAACTGGGCAAATGCACCGACCAGACATTTTTACAGATGAGCAAGTATAATCAGCCAATAAATATATGACAGATATTCATACCACTACCCATTTCAGAAATGTAAATCAAAACTTGTAATTCCACCTCACCCCAATCACAGTAGATCCCATCAAGAAAACAAGCAACAGCCAGGCACAGGGGTGCACACCTTTAATCTCAGAACTCTGGAGGCAAAGGCAGGTGGATCTCTGTACATTCAAGGCCAGCCAGATCCACATAGCAAGCTCCAGGCCAGCCAAAGCTACAGAGTAAAACCTTGTTTCAGAAAGAGAGAAGAAAGAAAGAAAAAAGAAAGGAAGGAAGGAAGGAAGGAAGGAAGGAAGGAAGGGAGTCAAAGAAGCAAAAAAAAAAAAAAATGCTGGAATGAATATGAACAAAAGGAAACTTGATGCGAAGGTAACTTAATCCAGTCACAATGGAAATCAGCATGGAGGCTCTTTGAAAAGCTACCATATAGCTCAGCCTTGCTATTCCTGATATAGAGCCAAAGGAATCAAAGCCATACAATAGACATGTACCCGCACATCTATATTCATTGTAAAACTATTCATTATACAAGATATACAAGAAGGCTGGGTGCCCATCAGTAGATGAATGGATAAAGAAAAAGTGCTATGCACACAAAAGTAAGTTTTATTCAACCATAAAGAAAAATTAATTGTACCATTTGCAAGAAAAATGGCTGGAACTAGAGATTATCGAGTTAAATAAGTAGACACACAAGACAAGCATTCCATGTTCTCTTTCATATGTGAAAATTAAGGGAAGAGAAACAGAACATGAAAGCAAAGCAAGGGGCTGCAGATGGAACCCTTGCTACTGTCCAGCCGGCTGCCCCTGACAGGCTTCTAAAGAAACTTCGCTGACTCATGGTCTAAAGGATGAATTGATTAACCACTATCCCCAGAAAAGAATATGAAAGAGGACTATCATAAAGATAGGAGAGAAAGGGAATAGAAAGGAGGGATATGATAAGGGAATAGTGGGAATTTTTTAAAATCAAAGTACATTATATGTATTATGAAAACGTTAAAATGAAACCCATTGCTTTGTATAATTAATACAGGCTAATAGTCATTTTAAAACAGCTGTCTTCTAGGATGTAAGTTCCCAGAGGGCATGAGTGACAGCTGGGAACTCATTGCTTTGTATAGTTAATACAGCTTAATTATCACTTTCAAAGCAGCTGTCTTCTGGGATGTAAGTTCCTAGAGGAATGACAGCTGGAGGCAGGATTTGAAAGAGTGATGCTGAGACCCATTGGAGTCTCACTTGTACTGAAGACAGACCCTCACTTGGATGCAAAAGGGGAATAAATGCCCTTAAACAAGACCTGGAGTATCTGAGTTCAGTCCCTGCTAAGTCACACATCAGCTAAAAAAAAAAAAAAAAAAAAAAAAAACTGTGTTCAGGACCCCTTCTGGACATCAGATTGGTTCACGTATTCAGCAAGAGAGAGTTCTCACCTCTAAGGATCCTCCTATTACTAATTCCACTCAAGAACTCCATTACAACCCTTCGCCCTTCCCAAAAGAACCAAGGAAACACAGGGAAGGCTCAGCCATAAACTCAGGGGACAGAGTGCCCACATAGCCAACAAAAACAGATTGAGATGGCCATTAGGGATCCCCTGACACCTTTGTATATTATAAGTCAGAACAAGGAAACAAAGGGTATCAGACGTGTGGCAAGCGGCTGTCTTGCTTAAAATGGGGGTGGCTGGAAAGGGGGGGGGGTTGGGTGGAAAGGAAGTGGGCCAATAAACTAGCTTCCTCCCAAATAAGCTCCAAGCCTAGGGCTGGGAATTTAAAAAAAAAAAAAAAAAAAAGGAAGAAGAAGAGTTGTATTTCCTACTCCACCCCAGCTCCCACACTCCCTCACTGGCAGGGTTACCACACCGCTCACCTGTGAAGCAATCTTTCCCAGGGACAGCCATGTGTCTAGCAAGGGGCTGCCTATAAATGCTGGGCTTGCGCTGCTCCTGACAAACACTCTGTAGCTCTTTAGCTTTGGTAAGTGAGCTTCATCTTCTCTGGAGAGAAGCCTGCCTGCAAGGTCTCTCATCCCTTCCCTTGGCCAACTTTCTTCAAAGCCCTTCTCTAGAAGCCCTCCCTGGCTGATTCTGTCCATTTTACAACTTCCTTCACTTTTTCTAGGAGTGTTGTACTATAAAAATATTTTGCTATTTTACATTCCATACCATTCTTTGTATTTTGTGTTTCCCATCCCTTTCCTTCCTGACAATGGGCAGAACCCAGGCCAGGGAAGCTCGGCATCCTACCCTTTTATTTGTAACCTTTGCTTCCCCTGTTTTCAAATAGAAACAAGAAGATGGCCACCCAAACACCATCTCTGTTGGAGCGCAGCATAAGCACCATCATCGACACCTTCCACAAATATGCTAAGGAGGAAGGACACACAGACACCCTGAGCCAGGGTGAATTCAAAAAGATGGTGAAAGCTGATCTGGCAAACTTTCTGAAGGTGAGGCTTGGTTAGTAAGGGAGAAGGGCGCAGTCTGTGGTGGTCAGGGAGACAACTCCAGCACTTTCCACCAGGGGCAGTGGGGTTCTGTCACTAGAGGTACTTGAAGTTAGACATGAGTAAGGAAATTGTTCAGTTGAACACCTGCAATGTGTGGTACCCTATTGTGGGCAAATGGATGTAAAGATGATTCAGGACTCCATTATCCCAATGGTGGCAACAGGCAACTTTAACAACGTAGGCAAATTCAATAGCCTGGAAGTCAGGAGGAACATAAGAGCTCTGTGGGTAGTATGTGCTGGGTTCAGTGGGGTGGGGTGACTGAAAATGCTTTAAAAAATAAAAACGGACCTCCCCTTTGAATGGATAACACTTTAGCTGAATCCCTGGTAAAGGACTGGTGGGATGTTAAAACAATGAGCTGGCATGGCAGGTTCAGTTGGTTCCTGGAGAAGAAAGCTGAGACCAATTACCCTTAAGAATGGGCCTTATTGAGAGAGAGAGAGAGAGAGAGAGAGAGAGAGAGAGAGAGAGAGAGAGAGAATGATGATGGTGGTGGTGATGGAGGCCATGATCCAGTCTTAGGTGAGAGAGCATTATATGCATTATGAAGATGTTAAAGAAAATAGCATAAAGTGAAAGAAAGGAGAGATGACCACCATGGACAACATGGAAGTGAGAAACTGAAAGGGGAGGGAGTCAGTATGTATGTGTGTCAGAGAAAAATCTTTATTTTTTTTATAACTTCTTCCCAGGGGAGTGACGAGCCTGACCATATTATAGCCCATCTTTATCTGAGTCTTCCCCCACACTTTATCACACCCTTTGGGATCAGCAGAAAATGGTTTGCCCCTTTAATATACCATGGTTTCCTGGGTGCCTCCTCCACTAAGTAGCCTAAATAAGCTTTGCCAATTAGTCACCTCCAAGGAAAGGACTGGGGTGGGGGTGACTAAGAGACTGAGAAGAGTTGGTGGGTGCATAATCCTCCAAGTCAGATCCAAATTTACATCTCCTCTCCTCCCAGCCTCCAGAACCATTTACCTTTCTATCTTATAAGGATGAGCAAAGGATATTTCTATACTTACTAATTGCTAAACCTTCTATAGAGCAGAGTCCTAGTGTCCAAGGCAGAGGGATGTCTAGGGAACAAATTAGAAAGTGTTTAGTAGGTGTTTAGCCTCTGTTCCATCATGAACACTAAGTACATTGTTTTTATGTTTAAATCTAACCCCAGGACCAGGTTTTCCTATGTGTTTGCCATCTAGTCACTCACTGTGTTCCAGGGTCCTCTTCCCTGACTACACTCAGCCCTAACAGTCTCCTCTATTTCACCCACAGAAGGAGAAAAGGAAGGACAAACTCATAAATGACATCATGGAGGACCTGGACACAAACCTGGACAAGCAGCTGACTTTTGAGGAGTTTGTGGTCCTGATGGCAAAGATGGTCCATGCCACCCATGAGAAGATGCATGAGAAAAACCCACGTGGGCATGACCACAGCCATGGTTTAGGCCTTGGGAAGTAATTAGGAGAACAGCCACTTTGCATCTGCCCAACCAAGGTGAAAGGAAATGTCTTACCTTGGTTGTGGAGCTGGGAAATGATAGAAAATAAAGTCTTTATCCATTCCAGTGCTCTGTATGTTGTTTCTGTGTCCTTCACACTTGTCCTTCCCAGGGATCTGAGTGCTAAACAGTCCTACCCTTGTCTGAAGCTCGAGTCCTCCATTAGGTCATAATTTTAAAAGAAAAAAAAAGAGCCAGCAACCTATGTCCATTCTGAACCCATAAGCCTTACCTCCCTCACTATATATCTTGGATGACAGTACCCATTTCCAGTTTGTCAGCATGTCCCTGCTTTCCTGATTTCCTTCTCCCTCTTCTCTCCCCATACCCTTTGGAAAGTCTTCCCAAAATGGACCTAAACTGTTCCATGTCTGGGGAGATGTACTGAGTAAGAATCTATGGAGAACAGGCGCGTACTAACTCTTTACTGAATACATAAGGGCAGGCAATCCTCCCAATAGACATACAATCCTAAATGTGTGTGCTGGGGGGGGGTCTCTGTGATCCTCACATAGATGGAAGTAACAATTACCCCCAAGTCCACCATAGTTGCATCAGAATGGTGGGGTAAAAAACGCTCACTTGCCAGTGAAAGGGATGAGCTCCCACCTGATCCTGCATTTCAAACTTCCTGGGTCCTATAGAGAGCCTAGACTTGGTCCACAGAGCCTGGGTCCTTGGTCCACAGAGCCAGTGGAGCCTGAGGATTGAAATTATAAACTGCAAGGACCACATAATGTCCACAGGATGGAGGAAGCTCTTCCTGTCCCTAATCAGTGGCCAAGAGCTCACTCAGCACAGACATTTGCTCTACTTTGCGAGTCTTTTTCCATCTCCCTCGGTGCTGCTGACACTGTCCCTACTCCATGCAGTCTCTGCATTCCCATCTAAGAGACAAAGTCTTGATTGTGGCTAAACAAGAAAGGTAGGAAAAACCTAAAGAAGCTGGCAGCAAAGGTTCACACACAGAGCAGAGCCATTGTGGCAAGTAGTTGGGGCAGCTGGGGGGGGGGGCCCGGACTGCTTAGAGACTTGGCCTCTGGAGAAGGGCAGAGAGGATGGACATTACTAAGTGTCAAGAGCACTTCTCCTTGTCTCATGTCTCTGTGAACCCTGAATGTAGGTGGCCATTCTAGAATGCAGGCAAATATCTCAGAGCAACCCAGTTTCTCAGAGTCCGTAGGAATTTTTGTAAGTAGCTAAACAGAGGCACTCGTGGTGACTGAGCCCCCTCCTTCCCATTAGGAAAAAAAAATGGCCTGTTCAGTACAGGGAAAGGTCTCCTCTCAGATCTAGATGTGTTATCACAAGTATTACGGTCGTCAACACAAAACCACAGCTCTCATCTCAAAGGGAGTAAGAGACAGCTTGTTTTTGAGTCATGTTGAGAAACCATGGCAGGGACAACAGATTTGGACTACTCCAAATTTCATGATCCAAAGTAGAAACAGGTCCCTGAAGTTTTAGTTTTACAAAACAGGGGAAGTCATAAATAGCCATGTCTGAATCTGATCTAGGTCCTGTGTGAATCAAGAAAATCTCTAAAATTTTGGAAATATGTTTATTTCCTCATCCATTCACTATTTTGACCACTGGTTCTTTCAGGATACATTAGTTGGACACTCACGGAGTGCTAGGCAATCCAGACCACTCCAAGAAGCCACCGCAGTGAGCAAGGATTGGCCAGGAGCGTCAAGGCCAGCAGGAAGACTAAACAGGTGCTTGGGTCATTCTAATATGAAAAGGGAAAAGTCAAGGGGTGTAGCACTAGGTAGGACCTTGAGGCTGGAATGGTACCCATCTATAGAGCTGCCCCCCCCCCCCGCCCCAGAGGGGAGGTGGTGGTTCTCCTGTATCAGAATCTGCTGATGCATCTGCCACTACTCTTAAAATACTGAACAGCAACCTGAGAGGATCAGCCTTAGCTGGTGAAGTGCACTCGAATGCATTGGAGGACTGTTTTCATATTTCCTGTCCCTTTTTCCTGCCTCTTCAAAAAAAAAAAATAATATCTTGTTATGTAACCCAGGATAGCCTCAAACTTGCTGTGGCCCTCCTGCCTTGGCTTCCTGAGGACTGGGATTTGTACATTTAAGCTCCCAAGCCTCGCTAAGAGAAGTGAGAACCAAAAAGCATTGAAGCTGAGACTGCAGACATCTCAGGACAGACACAAAAATACTTCAGAAAAAGGCCTGTGTGTGGCAGGTACAAGGCTATGTGGGAATGAGTAGCATGGACATATGAGGGAGCGAGGTGAAAGCTACACAGACAAACAAGACAGACATGGAGCCAAGAAGTTCACTCTTCAGTCGGGAGAGCAAAGGGCAGACACAGCAAAGGATGCAGGAAAGGAAATTCTGGCATCATATTTGTGCAAAAAGAGGCCACAGGCACATAGCCTGTTAGGAGATGGAGTCAATAGCACTATAGTCTAGCTGAGAGCTTATTAGAGTCTGTCGCTGTGCCATTCCAAAAACACCTACTTGGTCAGAATATAAAATGCCCCTCAGTTAGAGAAGGCACGGCATGGAGCTCCTATTGTACTGAACCTGTAAATGACAGCGACGACAGTAAAGAGACACTGATGTCTCTCAGCCAAACTATGGGACTACAGAAAAGATGCACCCCAAAATGGGAAGTTTCCCAGGAATTACACACCGGGGAAGGGAAACAGTCTCAGCCACAGGGGGACTTTGTGCCTAGGAAAGAGGTTTATAACAATTTGTCAAACGTCCTTACAGAATGAGGACTGAAGCTCCCAGTGGGACCACATGAGGACTTGTGCCACTGAGATGCATGCATCCTCTTCCCTGTATATAAATTTTAATCTCACTTGTCAGGACCCAGAGCATGGGCTTGGGTGTTTGCTGGGACCCTTTATCCCTTTTTATAATGTGGCCACATTGAACAAATCTCTCTTGTCGCTTTCCAATATCAACTTGACCTTTTTGATTGGTTTATTGAGGAAGGGTGGCAGGACCTGGCTCAGGCTCAGATTATAAATCCAAATTTGATACGCTGAATAAATAAATTACTGTAATTTTGTCCTGTTTGCCAAGGCCTTGGATGGGAAGAGGCCTCTGTTGTGAGCAGTCCAGTGAGGCAATCTTATGCAACCCCAGAACCCAACCTCAGAGTTCTGCTCACCTCACCTTCCAGAGTTGCCTAAAATTATATTTTAGAAAGTGCTGTGTTATGAATTTTGACATTACAATTTCCAAGACAATAGCAGGAATGATGTAACTGTTGCTCAAGTTTCCTAGGTTAATGTTTGTCTCAAGACTAGGTAGGCTTCCTGATCCTATTAGAGGTAGCCCCTCAAGAGACAGAGAAATGGGCCCCAGGAGCAGAAACCACAGGCCTCTCATGGGTTTTCTCTCTTTCTACTGTATGTTCTCCAGTGTTTGCCTTCACAACTGGAAACTGCGGGTGCAGACCTTATAGTGGGCTTCAGAGAACAGGACAGCACCGCCAGGGGTGCAGGATCCCCATGGCACATAGCCTAGGGAAGCCCCGCCTTATGCCGATCTCTTCTTCTCTCTTCCAATCTCTCTCTCTCTTTCTCTTCCTTTCTCTCTCTTTCTCTTCCTTTCTCTCTCTTCCACTCTCTCTCTCTCTTCCTTCTCCTTGAATTGTACCTCTCTTTTCCCTCTCTCTTCCCTTGTTTTGCTCACTCTCTCACTCAATGCTCTCTGACCTGCTACACTCCTTAGTGAGATGCAACCCTATGCTGTTAGGGTGCCAGCGTGTGGGGGTGGGGTGGGGTGCAAAGTAATTCTGAACAACTTAAGGCACAGTATTTAGCTCTCAAGGCTCCTCATAATATAGGAAGGAGAAAATCACCAGAGGGAAACCGTTGTAGGTCTCTTAATAGTATTGGACGATTTGCTATTGTGCAAACATCATATAGTGTGTTTGATATAGAAACTCAAAGTAATAGAATAGATATTATCAAAGATTTACCAGCGGATTTGCTGAGGAGACTTTAATTCACACAACATAGAATTTAGCTGAAGGAGCACTGCCTCCAAAATTCCCCAAAGATAGTCTTACCACCATAAGGGCTAACTAAGCAAAAATTTTGATGCTAGGATGTAAATGTTTGTTCACCAGGACTGACCAGCCATTAGACCCATTCCCAAAGAACACACCACAGCAGCTCAAGGGGACACCACAGAGTCACAACTGCCATCGGGTCCTAATCTGCCATTAAGTTCCATACGCTTTTACCAGGAAAAGTATAATTCTTCCAGATGGGCAAGATTGACCCACGTAACAACTACACAAAAAGAGCAGCAGTGGTGTGCTCAAGAAATAACTCTAATAGCAGCTTTGTTGTGTGCATTTCCCACCTGCCCAAGTGGCCAGACTTGCAGTCTCCCATGTCTGTTCAAATAATCTGAAGTGTGACCTGGACCTGGACCTGGGCCTGGTGGAGAGTTAAGGATGACAGTGCCTGAAAAATGTACAGCCTCTGTCTGGTGCACACAAGTCAGTAATATCTTCTATTCAGGGCTGGCTCTTCCTTGGGCGTTAGCCACAATCAGCTATGAGTTGTTAGTTTTGTTTTGTTTTTAAGTAAAAAGCTTCTCCTTTATTAATCTCTAAGTGTGCAGAATGATTTCTCATGGGGAAGGGGGATTATTTCTTTAATATGCTGACAAAGAGCTAGGTGGCACATGCCAGTCATTTGATATGGCCTCATCTTGACAACCTTGAGAAACTTCCCGAATATGAAGTGCTTGCAGCTGTTGCTGGTAAAACACTGCGTTGTTTTTTGTTGTTGTTGTTGTGTTGTTTTGTTTGTTTGTTTTACCTTTTTCTAGTTTTTATGTATATGAGTGTTTTCCCACATGTATGTGCATGCACCATGTATGTGCCTAGTGCTGTTGAACACCAAAAGAGGGTATCTGGAACTGGAGCTACAGGTAGTTGTGAGCTGCTGTGTGGGTGCTGGAAGCCAAACATGTGTCTTCTAGAAAAACAGCCAGGGCTTTTAACAACAGAGTCGCCTCTCCGGCCCCTCAGTAAACAATTTTCATAAATAGGAGGAGCACAGTTTAAAA